TCGGCTCTATCTGCAAGCTTATGGCCAAGTTTCAAGTTCTACATCACCAGAGAGACAAATCACTAAAGGTGCTCCTATTACCTAAGATGCAGCATGAAATCTCGAGGGCACGTGGACCCCCTTCGCTGTACTTCCAAGATTCCTTTCTGCTCTCCCGAGGCGAGGCAGCCTCCCTGCCCATTCCTCCTCCCCACCCCCATTCAGACCTCGACCCGAGGCTTCCCTATCATTTATTCTTGTGCTATGCAGCCATTTTGCACGAATGAAGGCAGAAATGCACTGGATTCTTCTGTTTGAAAATATTTTCATGTACTGTTACTGGTAGAGAAAATGCCCTCCGATATAATTTAGATTTTTGTCTTGCCGTTGTTTGTGGGAGGGAAGTAGATTCCAAGCCAGATCTACTGTTTAGGAGTATAATAGTTGCCTGAAACATTCCTGGTTTTGTATATACCAGCTCTCACCGTTGGATAATAAAGGTGTCCAGCAATATCCTGAAGTCTAAGACTGGTTTTTTCCCTTTAGAACTTTTATCAGCCGTTGTAGCAACATTCTCTTAATCACTCTAAATTATTTGGCATTGGTAGGGAATCTGCTGTATCTGAAGCCCCAAACAAACAAAACCCCCAAAGGGCTATTACACTTTCAAACAAGAAAGGAGACACAATAGGCAACTGCTTTTACCCCCACACCTATAATTAACCTCTGATTACAGCGAGTTCCGCCCTCCTTGAACTTTATTCCCTATCCACCCTAAAGGGAGGTACTGGTTAGTTGGACTCAGGAGGCCTTTCCACTGGGCCTTGCAGAAAAACTGACTGGCTATCATGAAGTTCACGAAAGGCTCTGAGGTTTCCATCTCTTGGAATCCCTTTGACTACTGCTTTTCTTCTAGCTGCAGAATTATCTCATTATCTTTCTGCATGGTTTTAGGTTATTCAGGCACATTACTTATTTTTATCACAATAATGTGATTATCAGTCTATCTCGGTCTCAGAGAGTGCTCATTTCAGCAGCACACATACTAAAAATCAGTCTTAGAGAGTGGTGATGAAATTTGCTTAAAGTCACCTGTTGAAGCAAAATAATAGATCCAGGCCCCTTAACATGCCCACATTACAACTTGGAGAAGGTGGACATTTGCATTATTCACCCATCATCAAACATCTATTGGGCATCTTTTGCCACACCTTGCACCATGTTGGGGTATAACAAGTTTCCTCCCCTTTGTAGGCTCTCACACAGCTGCAGTATAACATGGTGTTACAGTGGAGACTTGAACGGTGGGTGCTGTGGGAGCCCAGGGCCAGAGCAGCCTACTTACTCTGCTAGGGGAGTTGAGGCGATGGGGAGAGAAGCGTATATGTATATGTATCCACAGTATACTAAGCTCTCACTCAAAGCACTTTCATACACAAGCCTTTAAATCCGAAGCACCTTTTGAGGCGAAAATTGTTTTAATTCTAACTTTACAGATAAGGAAACAGGTACCAAAATGTCAAGCTGCTCCCAGTCACACGGGAATCTGAACTGCCAGGTCAAGGATCTGCAGTTTCCAGGCTCTTGTTCGCTCAACTGCCTTCAGAGATGGGGAATGGGGTGGGGGTGGGGATGGTGCAAACAGTACACAGTTATTTGCTTCAATATGGGTGCTTAATTTAACAATGCCTGGGAATGTAAGAAAAAGGAGCACACAAAAAGTTTCCCACATTTCAACTTTTCCTAACTCTTTTTAGGTCACTTCAAATAAAATTTGCAAATGACGGCCTGGGGAAGATATGCAAATGAATGCTTAGTGTAAAAGTCATTCGGAGTGAAAATCGGTTTATTTAGCTACCTCAAGTGCGCACATTCTTTTTCAGAATGAATGTGTTTGAAGACAAACTTTCATATGTTTCCCCACTTCCTTTCCAACTTGATATTCCCATTATAACATATTGATTAACAAAACACCCTGATGCCTGTTAGCAGGGGTTAGGTGAAAATAGGAAACTGCTGTGTAATTTAATTCTTTTAGGTACTCCTGTGGCAATACCCTGTACACCAGCTTCTACTAAAAAGTAAAATAAAGCCCAGAACCAGGGTAGTCAGTACATCCCATTCTTGCTATGTGCAGTTTGAACTGTCAGAACTAACAGCTTTTGAATCTGTTTACTATGGTCTATGAGAAAAGGAAACTGAAACGAAACTAAGCAAAAACACCTCACCAATGTCTCCTGAGAACCCATGAATCTCAGTTGAAAGGGACCCGAATGATCATTAAGCCTAATGGTTCTCAAGGAGGTATTGTGGAAATCTGTGTACTACTTTTGGTTGTCACAATGACTGGGAAGGACTACTGGCATTTAGTGGGCAGGGGCCAGGCATGCTAGATAGTCTACAATGCTGGACACTCATTCAAAAACTAGTTCCTCAGAACTAAGACAATTTTATATATAAACACAAAGTATCTTTGCCCAGTTTTGATACACACTGACTTCTCCAGGAATGTAACTACTGTAATAACTAGTCGGAAGGAAGATGGTATTGTTTTGTTTCAAACACTACCAAGGGTTCACCATTTTTGGAAAATAAAGTCACCAATGGCAACACTGCTCATGATACTTGAGTTGTGAAAACACACTTTTTCAGTTTGCATTTAAAACTGTGCCGGACAGGTATCTATCAAGTTATTGTTGTGTGGCAACATTCACAAATTAAAATATAGAGTTTTATTATGACCATTCTGCTTTTATTCTACAGTTAGGTCATGTTTTTTGAAATTGTGTGTTGTTAGGTTGAGGTTTTATTATCTGTGATTTGTTATTTCAGTATGGTTATTTAGGGTGTTACAAAATGCTGTTATAAAAAGGGAGCTGGTTCTTAACAGGGTTATGTAGTCCTTTTATAAAGGAAGAAATTGAGACCCAAAGCAGTTAAGCAACTTGCCCCGGGATGCAAGTGTTATATTATCTATTTGTTTAATATTTTAAAAAAAATTTATTTTATTTTTAGAGAGGGGAAGGGAGGGAGAAAGAGAGGGAGAGAAATATCAATGTGTGGTTGCACCTTGTGTGACCCCCCCCACCGGCAACCTGGCCCACAACCCAGGCATGTGCGCTGACTGCGAATGAAACCAGTGACCCTTTGGTTTGCAGGCTGAAGCTCAATCCACTGAGCCACATCAGCTAGGGCTCTTTTTTAAATTTTTATTTATTGAGTTGAGAGAGGGGAGGGAGGGGGGGAGAGAGAGAGAGAGAGAGAGAGAGAGAGAGAGAGAGAGAGAGAGAGAGAGAGAAACATCGACTTGTTGTTCCCCCCATTCATGCGCTCATCTGTTCATTCTTGCATGTGCCCTGAAAGGGCCTTGAACCCACAACCTTGGTGTATCCAGAGGACGCTCTAACCGAGTTACCTTCCCCGGGGTTATCTCCCTATCTCTTTAGGATTAAATTTTAAAAATCAGGAAGCGATAGTGGTATGTGGGAAATGATGTAGATAAACTATCTTAATTCTGGCAGCAGAAGGCCCTTTGGGGGATGGTGGAAAACCCTGCAAACTATTTGTCAGGCTGTGTCAAAAAAGAGAGGGGAAAGCGTTTGTAAGAACCACGTTTGTGCGGTCCTTCGGTTCAAGTCAGGGACCGGGTTAGTCAACACATTTTCTTCTGTATGAAGGCCCCTGGAATGGAAGCTGAACTACGGGTGGCGTGCCAGGAGGTGACAAGCGGCTCCTCCGGCAGCAGAAACGCATTTCCTCCCATTCTGCACCCACCGCAGTGGCCTGAGGGTTACCCCGACCCCAGGCGGATAATGCTATAGCAATTCCTTCGCCAGGCCCACAATGCGCCAAGCGCAAACACCGCCAATTCCCTAGGGGAACAATTTTCGATCCCCAGAGTCCCTTGGCTTTGGGGGCACGCAACACCGCGCAGGAAGTCACCAGCCCTAAACCCCTGGGCGCCCTGCGGGAAGAAAATGGGGGCCTAGTGCAGTACTTGTACGCGAGGAGGGCAGGGGTCCTGGGAAGGTGCGCAACCACCCGCTCAAGTTCAGCGCGTGACTGTTTTATTGTTTCCCCACCGTGGGGGGCGGGGGCGCGCGCAAGAGCGCGCTCTAGTCTGGGGGTGACACAGAGGGGTTTGTAGCGTTTCCAGGCAGCGTCCCTGCTGCCTAGGCAACCGCGGTGGAAAGCGTGGGCCACTAGCGCGCGCTGCCAGCTCCCCTCTACCTCCCCCCACCCCTAACCCGGTCACCACCCCGCTCTCCTTCCTCCTTTTCTCTCTTCTCCTCCTTCCCTTCTTCTTCCCTCTTCCTCCCTGTCCTTCCTGCTTCTCTGCCGTTTTCCTCTCCTGCTCCCTGCCTTTCGAGTACTCTATTTAAACCAGTTTCCTGCTGCACAAAATGGCCACCGCGTCCGGCACTATCTGTCACGTGACTCAGCTTTGGGCCTCCTTTTGCCGAACTCCGATTTCGCGGGGAGCCTGCCCCCGGAAGAGCTAGGGCTGATTAGTTTGGAAAAATCTCACGGCATCTCCGAGTCGGGAGACTGAGAGAAAGAAGAGAGAGGGCGCGCGATAGGAAGAAAAAAATGGCAAAAACCAGGGGTGTAAGGAAAAGAAAGGTGAAAGAGACCTTAAGTGAAATTTTAAGGCCTCCGAGGGGGCAGAAAGCGGAGCGACGAATTCTCGCGAGATCTCGCGAACCCCCAGATTTAAGTTACGGGGGGGGGGGGGGGCTGCGAGACCTCGCGAGATTTCGTAAAACTCCCAGACTTAAGGTAGGGTATTAGCGGATAATAGGGCAAAACAGGCTTAAGCGAATCAGCGCGGCGTTTGGCGCTTTGAGATCCAAGTGAGGATGACGAACCAGAACGGGAGTGACTAGGAAGTCCCGCGAGGTTAGGACTGAACAAGCGCTCAGTAGCTAGGCAGAAATGGTGGGGGCAGGGGGAGTGGGGGTGTGAGAGGGAGGGCACACGTCGTACGTGCTGACGTAGCAGTCTTTCGAGTGAGTATATTAGATCCGTGGCAGCGCCGATCGCTTCAGAGCCGCAGTTCTCCCGTGAGAGGACCTTCGCGGTGAATCAAACACTCGCTCAGCAGCGGAAGACTCCGAGTTCTCGGTACTCTTCAGGGATGAGTCATGTGGCGGTTGAAAATGCGCTCGGGCTGGACCAGCAGGTGAGCTGCAAGGAGCCTGCTGGGTTGTACGAAACGTTACCCTAACCTAACTTGGTTTATGGCGCAGCCCTGACTCGCACCCTTCGTTCCCGTTTCCTGGGTACCTCGGGCTGGCGAGTGTCAGTGGCCCGGGGTAATGGAGGAACGGGGAGGTGGCAGGAATGCCGTTTGTGGCCGTCGCTCGGGCCGAGTCCCCGGCTTGGCCCGCGGTATTGTCCCCAGGACGAGCACAATGGCGGCTTTTGTGTGTGCGTGCGCAGGCGGGCTGAGGGGGAGGGGGTGCGCGCGCTCTCGCGGAGAGGCGCACGCCCGGACCTAGTCTAGTGACCCATGGGTGGCGGTGGGGGGGGGGTTGTTCGCAGTGAGCGTGTGGGGACTCTTGTCCTCTAGGACTTCGGCCCTCTATTCACACGCGGCCCGGATTCTTGTCAGGCGGGCGGGTGGGGGGGGGGGCCGCGCGCGCGAGCGCGCGCCTGAGATGGAACGCGGCCCTGGAATGTGGGAGGGGGCGGCGCGGGGGGCGGCCTGCGCTTGGGGTAATGGCGGCGGCCTCCTTTGTGTGGTGCTGGGTGGCTGGGCGTTGCTGCGGCCCACTAGCGGGAGAGGTTGGACCAGCGGGTCCAGTGGCCGATGAGGGCCTGGAAAGGAGGATGGAATGGGCATCTTGTTCCTCCTCGGCGTCCTTTCGCAGGCCTTCTCGATCCAGCCCGGTTTCCGCAGGCCCGGCGCTGTGGCCCGGGAGGCCGCGTTTCCGGAGTGGAAAGTTTTGTGACGCAGAAGGTTCAGGGAGGGGGGGCGGAGGGAGTAATGGGCCACTGCGGGCGCCGTGGCGCTGGGCTCTAGAGATGGAGGTTTAGGACCCGGAGCGGCCCTTCGGTAGTTTCTCTAGATAGTTACTGTGTGACGATATAGTCAATGGCCACGCGGGGTATTTTTTGGGGGCGGGGGGAGGAATCCACGAGTTGTATGAGTGGCGTTTGATCCAGGAATCGGCCAAAGGGAAAAAATACTCCGAATGTGGCTTGGAGGAAAATAAAAAGTTCTCTTCACTTGTTGCTGCCCGAGGAGTAAATTTTTAAAATAGATCAAATGAAGTGTGTTTGACTGTAACCCCCTCTTTTAAGGGTGTGTGTGCGGGGGGCGGGGAGGAGAGTGAGCTGAAAGACTGAGTTATGGCTTTTGGTGGCAGGAAGCCTGCGTTCCTCAGCAACGGGGACACTATGCTTCAGATAAGCTCTTCAGTAGGATGTTTGGAGCCGTTAAGTAAACTTTTGCCTTCCATGAATTCCGGAATAATCCTGAAACGAAATTTAGTGACACATGAAGTTTCGTATGTAATATATTTTTAGAGATTAACAATGTCTCTTAGGCAGCATTTTTCCCCATTAGTGAATCAATTATATTAAATCCTCTAAATTGCTCACACGTCATGTGTTGAATGGAGCAGAGAAGTCTGGTGTTGGGGCAGCTTTAACATTTTTCATATAAGTGGTGCCGTTTTTTAAGATTCCAGGCAGGAGTCAACTTTAAATTTGTAATTCGAAAGAATGTGCAATCCTTAGAATTCCGCAGCAAGCCAAGTCACAACTGAGAAAATTGTTAGTATAATCATAACAATATTAGTAGCATTTAAAGTAGCTTTTTCGTGTTGCCAAGTGTAAAATTAAAATTAATAAAACCTGTGTAATCATTACACTATTCAGTAGCATTTAAACTAGCTTTTCTGTGTTGCCAAGTGTAAAATTAATAAATAAAACTTATAACAAGTGTAAATATAGTTTTTCTTTTGTGCTTTAAAATATCAATCTGTTAACTGCAGAGAGAAAGCCTAACAGCGTTTTTGCTGATGGAAATTATAGAAATAAGGCACTAAAGTCTTATTCATCCCATTTTCTTTTTTAAGATTTGGGATTTATGTTCCCAATTTTTAACGACTCCATTGATGCTTGCATTTTGACGGTGTCCTCTTGACTTTTTAATGGAATTAAGTACAGCAGCACATCACTTTTGCAGGCAGGTGGTAACAGTAGTGATGACTTTTTTTTGTGGCTTTTAAAATATTTCTTTTGTCGCATATAGCTTCTTTTTAATCTATTGTTTGTAAGTGGTTCCTGGTTAGTCATAACAACAGAATGTGATGAAGATAGCAGGGCTTTTTTTGATAGGATGTTGAGGCTTTGAACTGCCGGTATCAAGGGGATAGGTAGAAATGGTCAGTAAAGATGATAAAATGTTATATGGTCTTTAAGGGCATCGAATGCTATTTGTGCTTTCTATGCCTAGTCTTTGAACTTACCTCAATGGTGAAAAAGGGAGAATGAATAAATACCTACTTTGCTAGGTTGTCCTTAATATATATAGTGTTTAGTAAAAGGTGGATATATTGACTTTTTCTTAAATGTGCTACTCTAATTAAAAATGCTTGTGCAGTGGTTAGGGAAAAGAAATTAAAATTATTTTCTGGTATTTTCAGGTATACTTTGTAGGTTTAAAATAATTTCGAGTAGAAAGTTGGCGTTGGAAATTAGTCAAATGTGATTGGACCTAAAATTAATCCTTTGTGTATTTGACATTTTAAAATAATTGTAATTTCTCAAGCTATGGAAAATGTTAAAGGAAAAATTCATTTTGAATGAATGACTTTAATTCGGACCCAGTTTCTACTTGGATAAGCACCAGCATCTTGATGTGCTGTCTTCTGTAGTATGTACAGTAATATAATTAATGCATTTGTTTAGAACTTTAGTCTGAAGCACATTCTTGGTCACATTCGCGTTGAATTTTACACCAGCCCCACGAGGCAGGTAAAGCTACTAATGCTAGTAAATGCTACCAGGCGGACTAGTTTTAGTAATATTTAACCATACTTGCTACTAACTATTTAACTCTCTCTTCCTAGTTTGCTGGCCTAGACCTGAACTCTTCAGATAGTCAGAGTGGAGGAAGTACAGCCAGTAGTAAGTAAAACGTTTTATGGATTTACTGAAATTAGAACTTTAATATTGTAATATTTTATTGGACTTATTTACAATTTAAGAAGTTAGCCCTGGATGGTGTGGCTCAGTGGATGGAGTCCTGGCCTGTGGACTGAAAGCTGCCGGTTTGATTGCCAGTCAGGGCACATGCCTCAATTGCCGGCTAAGTCCCCATTTGGGGGTGCACGAGATGCAACCACACATTGATGTTTTTCTCTCTCTCTCCCCCCCTCTCCCTCTCCCTCCCTCCCTCCTTTCCCCTCTCTCTAAAAATAAAAATTTTTAAGAATTTCCTCTCCAACTTTTACTGTGTGAAGAATTGTATAGACTGTGTTATTTAGAATTATGTGTTAGTGATTAATCTAAAGCATTGTAAACCTTTTGGTAGTAAAAAGGGACTGATTCTCTTGAGTAAAAACAGTCGTTGAAAAAACCTATACAGCACACAAATTATCTTTTAGAAGAGTGTGTTTATTATGGATTGTGAGCCCAGCTTAGAGTGGTGGGGTTTGTGTTAGAGTGATTCTATCATAATTAAACTAATAAAGGGAACTTCGACATTTAATCGCTACAGCTACTCCTTTTCCATGAAGAACATGAAACTAATAGAACAAAGCTGTATTGAATCTTCTGGTTAGGATTTTAAATGCTGTGTCACTGTATCAGTCTTCTGAAAAAAAGTTAGGTATAAAAGTTTTGTTATTTTTTTGAGAGGGTTTAAAAAGTTTAAAGATTTTATTTTTTTAGAGAGGGGAAGGGAGGGAGAAAGAGAAACATCAATCAGTTGCCTCTGGCCTGCAACCCAGGCACATGGCCTGACTGGGAATGGAACTGGTGACTTTCTCCTTTGCAGAACGATGCTCAACCTACTGAGCCACGCTATCAGAGCCACAGGGCTACTTTTTTTTTTAATCTTAGGTTAGTATTAAGTTGTAGGGGATATCAGTGGTTTATTTGGCAGTAGACTTGATTCAGCTTAGGTCTCTTCCAACCTATTAACTAAAACAAAAAGATGGGTATGGGCTGTACGGTCTAATATCAGTATTTCCTCAAGCACTGTTGTAATAAGCAACATGCCCTAATTTTTAGACAAGAAGGGCCTCACTGGGCATAGTTACATAGTATTTGTGGTTTTAAAAAATTAAAAAAATTTATTTTTAGAGAGGGGGAATGGGGTAGAAAAAGAGGGAGAGAAGCATCACTTGATTTCCTCTCACAGGCTCCTAACTGCTACTCCCCGTCTTCCCCCCACAACCCAAGCATGTGCCCTGACCAGGAGTCCAACCTGGGACCTTCAGGTTTATAGGAAAATGCCCAATCCACTGAACCACACCAGTCAGGGCTAGTATTTGTTTTAAATTTCACTATATTTGCCATACTTGCTAAGAATGTTAGGAGTTGGTCCTGCTTATAGAGATCTTCAATATTTAATTCAACCCAGAAGGGAAAAGGAAAAGTTAAATTGCAGGTTTACTACTGGTAAAACAGGGAGTTGACGTTTCCTTTACTTGGTGGATATACCTTATTTGCTTTTGCTTTGTCATCCATATTTTAGGCTGTATTCTTGCCTGCATACAGAGCAACAGTTAAATTTCCTATAAATTCAGCAAGCTGCAAATTGAAACTCCCAATATTTTGAAATCATTTCCCCCTTTCATGTTTTCCATATATATTTATTCTGTTTTGGAATTTACCAGGATAGAAACAAAAAACCTCTTCTTGGTTAAAGGTGATCTATTACATAGCAGTCTTTTAGGTTGTTATAATGATCCTTAGTTGTAACAGTTTTGTTAACTGATGACAATTCTCTGAAATCCTAGCAGGCCTTTAAAATAATTGTGTTAAATGAGCCACTAGCGGCAAGTTAAATTATATTAATTTGTACACTTTAATTGTTAGGTTCCAGTTCAAATTTTAATTTTCCAAACTTGTTCTCCCCTCTTTCAAAGTTATCCTTGTAAAGCAATAACCCATTTAAAATGAAAGTAGGTTCATCCCCCCACCCCTGTATTTCCAAGTTAAATAGACTAGAAGGCTAGAATTTAAATTAAAAACCATTTTCCAGGACCATTTTTTAATAACAGAAGTGCTGTTAAGAATCTTAAACCTGAACTTTTTGGGCATTTATTTTATTATTATTTATTTTAGAAGGACGCTATATTCCTCCTCACTTAAGGAACAGAGAAGCTACTAAAGGTAAGTTCTTTGAGCAATTTGTAGACCTAATTCTTGCTGGCTTTAGAAGTTGGAGATTAGGGAAAACGAGGCACCTTAGGAAGTCTAAACACAATAGCTTTCCTCTGTCAGCCAGTTCAAATATTAGGACTTAATCACTGGAAAAGTCTCATCTAATGTCACACAGTGGAAAATTCTGCATTTCCTATGTTGTACTCTTCTGAGGCCAACGGCATGGTTTTATACAATTTCACTAGTGTGCTTTAATTGATTTGTACTGGTTCACAGCATCATTTTAATTTGAAAAAGGTGAGTGGACACCCCACTGTGTAAACCAAACTTCGTGCTCTAACAACCCAGTTATTTCTGTCTTGCAGAGGAGCCAAAACGAAAATGGGGTAATTGCAGAAGAGTTAACAGGGTATATATAGTGTTGGGCACAGTCCTAGTAAGTTGGGAGTGATTCTCTGGTTTTATATACTTGCCTTAACTGCATTATTTGAAAGGTTTTATCCAAAAGGTATCACAACACCTGGTCTTTTCCTATTTAGTTTGTAATGTAGTGACAGAAAACTAGTAGATGTCTCAAATTATGGGACAACTGCTTGGGTACAATATATTGCGTAAAATGGATGATCTGAGATTTGGAGGGAAAAGAAAATGCTTTTTTAAAGGTCAGGAGGAAATATACTGCCTATATGGAAGGTAGGATTGAAAGGGTGGAGGAGAGGCCACATGAATATGTGGTTTGCTGCTGTTCCTCCTCATCCATATGTGGTCTGTTTTAGTTTCACTGTCCTTGGCAGTATGTGGATATAAACTATTAATTTCTGTCACATGGGTTATCATGTCATTCTTATTAGTTACTACAGAATTTGTCTTTATCATCATGGTTTGTTGTCATTGTTCCTTAGAATTTACTGGCTGAAATTGACCCCCATGTATATTTAGTGCTTTCTTTCCCCCTTTGTTGCAGTGACAGAAATCAAAGGAGGGGCACTATCAGGTTTTAGAGCTGAAAGAGATCTTAGAACTCTTAACTCAACTTTTTATTAATAGCTAAGACTGTTGGTTGTCACCAGGCAGCCTAATAATAGAGGCAGGAGACTGAATGAAAGTAACTTAATTAACTTGTAAACTATGGCTATTTAATAAAGTGTCACTGAAGGTAGTTAAACCCTCTTCTTGTCTTTAAACCTTCTACCTGTTTATACCATTGTCATCCCCTCTTATTGACTGTTTATAGCTGTACCGTAGGAACCTGACCACACACTAAGAGTAAGGGTGAGGATTTTTCCTTTTTTCTAGGTATTCTTGATTTCCATCTGACAGTATGTATTTCATGTGAACTGAGCACTGTTAAACTTTTTATTAGGGAAACTGAAAGTACTGTATTAATCTGACAGTCTTAAGAATTTTAAATGAATATCGCCCCTAAGAAACATTAAAACAGTGGTAACTGGTTCCTAGTAAACTCACTCAACCTATAAAATGAATAGAAATTAAATTTTGATGGTCATAAACAGTACTGTAATTGTATTACAGGCAAGCTAATGACATTTTAGAGGTGGTACTCATTCAGATCATTTTTAGATTGTCAGGTTGCTTGGTTTAGTATATAACATTTTGTAGTGGAGAGAATTAAAGATAAAAAACATTCTGTGTGCCAGTGTAAGGCCAGCTTAAATATTAGTTTACTAATGCCATGATAAGAATTATTTGCATTGTCCCTCCAGTCTACAGAGATTAGATGAGTGAGCAGAGGGCTTCAAATTCAGAAACAAGAATCATGTTAAAGTATTGTCAATTTCTAATAATAACATTAGAATGGGTTTGTGTTTTTATTTTAATTGAAGGATTCTACGATAAGGACAGTTCAGGGTGGAGTTCTAGTAAAGATAAGGATGCATACAGCAATTTTGGACCTCGTAGTGATTCAAGAGGAAAGTCTAGTTTCTTCAGTGATCGTGGGTCAAGGGGAAGGTAAGTGATCTCCTACCTTTTTGCATTATATGTGTGTGTACAATATAGCAAGTTAGGAATTGGTCTTTAATTTGGTAAGTCCTCATCTTTGTACTGTGATCATTAAGCTTATTTTCTCCTTGATAGACCACCTATTTAGATGTTACGCGTTATGTCTGTTTAATTGTATTTTTCTTGACTGTAAGAGAGAGAGGTCATTACTAAATTGAACTTTTTACATAGAAAGTAGATGAGAATATGAATGTACCCTTTTGCATTCTGTACAAATTAAACTTTTTTTTGTTAAATATAGTAAACAACATACTCTGAATAGGTTGAAACTAAGTAGAAGGATGCAAATTCTGGAACCAGGAAATATTCTGAGGTTTCTAAACATGTTTCAACTTGAAACAGGTCATTGTTTTAAAAATACATGTTTTTGCATTTCTATAGTTCTATATATATTCTATTTTAGAGTAAGTTTATCTAGCAAATGGCCTAATTTGGTTGAGATTTTTGTGGATATTCTACATGACAATTTTTAAATACCTTATATTTTTGATTACACAAGTGTGGTGAACTGACCTCATGTGCCTAATAGCTGTGGTTAGTCCTGTGTGTCCTGATTTTTCGCAAACAGGCCTAAAACTAAAAACATCTTAATTCAGGTAAGGATTGTTTTCTACCTTTTATAAAGTCTGTCACACAGGTGAATTGTCCTTTAAATGACATCCTAGTATCACTGGGACAATTGATACTTGGTGTGCTATTTTCTTTTCCCTGCCACTAAATATATGTGGATGAGAACTTTATATAAAGGTGTAAGTTCCATGCTGATTACAAGTATACAAGATTTGATTTTTAATTTCAGCATGTATGAGGCCTGTGTAGGCTATGTAACTTTATAGAAATAAAGGATACTGGCTTTAGAAAATAAAGTTACGTAAATGAAACATAGTCTGATTAGTTAGAGGGCCTTATTTGTCAAATAAGAGTAAGCCATAATTGGACTGTTGATATCCTTGAAGTTAGACATAATGAATAATTTAACTTGTCTCCAGGTACTGTTCTAGATTAGTGGTAGGAATATGATACTGGTTAAATGATATGATTCTGATTAATTGCTTGTGCTGTTTAGGTTTGATGATCGTGGACGGAGTGACTATGATGGCATTGGCAGCCGTGGTGACAGAAGTGGCTTTGGCAAGTATGAACGTGGTGGAAACAGTCGCTGGTGTGACAAATCAGATGAAGATGATTGGTCAAAACCACTCCCACCAAGTGAACGCTTGGAACAGTAAGTTTTAGTGATTATGGTGCATTGCAACCTTATTAGCTACTATAACAAATAAACTTGCTAATGATTTGATTTCAGGGAACTCTTTTCTGGAGGTAACACTGGGATTAACTTTGAGAAGTATGATGATATTCCAGTTGAGGCAACAGGCAACAACTGTCCTCCACACATTGAAAGTGTAAGTACTCTTGCTTAATCTTTTAAGACATGGAAATGTAGGTTTTTTCACAGTACCTCAGAATGAGATGGGCTTCCTAAAGACATCTATAGACCATACCTGTCTTATTTTAACAATTTTGTAAATTACTTTAAAAACCAGTCTCATTGTTTTGTGGAAGGGTAGAAATTGAGCTCAGTGTTATCATTAATATCAAATAAGAAATGGGTCAAACATTGGAAGCACCCAGAACTTCGCCAATGCAGATAAAGCCTAGGGGATTGATTCCCTCCCCCAAATGTAATAGTTTTTACTTAAAGCAACTGTAAACTAAAGTACAAATAAGCTATTGGTTTTTTTATTATTAAATTAGTTATAAAACAAAAATGGCTTTCTAGCAATTTAACCCTGTTGAATTTCTTGACAGTTCAGTGATGTTGAGATGGGAGAAATTATTATGGGAAATATTGAGCTTACTCGTTACACTCGCCCAACTCCAGTGCAAAAGCATGCTATTCCTATTATCAAAGAGAAAAGAGACTTGATGGCTTGTGCCCAAACAGGTAAACTCAATTGATAAAAATAAAAAGAATAGAGAATAGCTTGTGATCCATAGGTATGTGGCCAAGGGAAAGGCACCTCCATGAGTAAAGTAGTACTAGCCTCTGAATTCAGTACAAGCTTTACTATTTATCTACAAAAATAATCTGGGCCTTAGTTTGTTGACTCCTGTTAACAAGCAAGCAGATCAAAGTCGTGTGTGTGTGTGTGTGTGTGTGTGTGTGTGTGTTAAGCTTTTTATTTTTAGAGATGGGGGTGCGGGTTGGGGGAGAAAGAGGGAGAAAAATATCGATCTGGTTGCCTCTATACGTACCCCAACTGGGGAGTAAACATGCAACCCAGGCATGTGCCCAGACTGCGAATCGAACTGATGACCTTTTGCTTTGTGGGAAGATGCCCAACCGAGTCACACTAGTCAGGGCTTCCCTTGGTATTAACTTAGCTTTCGGGGGGGGGGGGGGGGAGGAATAAAAGCAGGTTTTTCTGTGGTTGAATGGATATACGTTCTCTTTAACAGGGTCTGGAAAAACTGCAGCATTTCTTTTGCCCATCTTGAGTCAGATTTATTCAGATGGTCCAGGCGAGGCCTTGAGGGCCATGAAGGTAAGTATTTCTTTATAAAAATGGGAAATTATGGTAGAACTTTTTAGGTAGGTAGATAGATGTAGAGAGATCTTTCTAAATGACACCAAGACTCATTCCAATCTGTTTAATGTAAAATAGTTTTCGAGTGTAATCCATAAATTACAGAAGAAAATGGATGTTTTAATGAATCTTTTTTTAAAGAGATTTATTTAAAGGGGAAGGAAGGGAGAAAGAAACAGCAATGTGGTTGTATGAGCCCCAACTGGGACCTGGCCAGGAATCAACCAGCAATCATTTGCTTTGCTTGACAACGCCTAACTGCACTGAGCCACACCAGCCTGGGCTGTAATGGATCTTAAGTTGGTTTAATTTATAAATTAATTTCTTAGGAAAATGGAAGATACGGGCGCCGCAAACAATACCCAATCTCCTTGGTATTAGCACCAACTAGAGAATTGGCAGTGCAGATCTATGAGGAAGCCAGGAAGGTAAGTATGCATTTCAGTGATTATTGCCTTTCTCATTGATTCTAATAAAATGTTTATGACTATATAAAGATCTTAGCCTTAAAGTTAATAAAATTTCTTTGCTTATAGTTTTCATACAGATCTAGAGTTCGTCCTTGTGTTGTTTATGGTGGTGCTGATATTGGTCAGCAGATTCGAGACTTAGAACGTGGATGCCACTTGTTAGTAGCCACTCCAGGACGTCTAGTGGATATGATGGAAAGAGGAAAGATTGGATTAGACTTCTGCAAGTATGTTAATTTTTAAATTTATGGAATACAATGTTTTTAAAATTATCATTGGTTTTGTGGTGCTTACTAGTGTTTAAATTTTAAAATTGTAAGTGGTTGGTTTTGTCTTTTACAGGAAGTTGGCTTATTATAATTTTAATGTTGAAAAATTAGTGGCATTTTAGTAGAGGCTAAGAATGACAGCACTGGGACAAGTAGTCAAGTAGTGAGAGCTAATTTGGCCATGTGATCTTTGATGATTTATTCAGTGGGAAAATCCTACACTGTCTATCGTGTACATGTATCAAATTGTGTGATGTGAGGAATTTAACAACCTGATTAAATATATAATTCTACTTGTCGATACAGGTATACTAAAACTTTGCAAATTCTAAACTGAATTTTTTTTCCATGACAGGTACTTGGTGTTGGATGAAGCTGATCGGATGTTGGATATGGGGTTTGAACCTCAGATACGTAGAATAGTTGAACAAGATACTATGCCACCAAAGGGAGTTCGCCACACTATGATGTTTAGTGCTACTTTCCCTAAGGAAATACAGGTACTGTTCATTGTTTGATACTGCAAACTTACTTACCTAGAAATTTGTTTATCTCAGTTGATTAATAAAATTTTTTCTTTCAGATGCTTGCTCGTGATTTCTTGGATGAATATATCTTTTTGGCTGTTGGAAGAGTTGGCTCTACCTCTGAGAACATCACACAAAAAGTAGTTTGGGTGGGAGAGTCAGACAAACGGTCATTTTTGCTTGACCTTCTAAATGCAACAGGTAAAATGACAATTTTAGCATTACTCTGGTGCCTTGGGTAATGAAAATCCATTTGGATCACTACTTACTGCTTTTCTTCACTCAAAACATTCTGTGAAAATGGTCTTAAATACTGCTTTTATTTGCATGTTTACTAAGTGCAAAGAGAACAAGGTCCCTACTAATGACAGACCTTTTAATTTTTCAAATTTAGGCAAGGATTCACTGACCTTAGTGTTTGTGGAGACCAAAAAGGGTGCAGATTCTCTGGAGGATTTCTTATACCATGAAGGATATGCTTGTACCAGTATCCATGGAGACCGATCTCAGAGGGATAGAGAAGAGGCCCTTCACCAGTTCCGCTCAGGAAAAAGCCCAATTCTAGTGGCTACAGCAGTATGTATAATAAAATCTTGTTTTTTATGTTCAACTCTTGGTTTTCTTTTAAGTGGGCCTTGTATAACAAAAGCTATTTTCCAGGTAGCAGCAAGAGGACTGGACATTTCAAATGTGAAACATGTTATCAATTTTGACTTGCCAAGCGATATCGAAGAATATGTACATCGCATTGGCCGTACAGGACGTGTAGGAAACCTTGGTAAGTAGTTACTTGATGTTCTGGTTGTTTTTCACTGTGATGCACGCATTGAAGAACTTTGCAGAATCTTAAATTGTAAGAACTTTTATTTCCAAGGAATGCATTAGAATACATTTGAGCAACAGAAGTGATAGAAAAGTCAGGTTTTCTTCTAAGGACTTTGAGTTGGTTAAATAACAAATAGTAAATTTTTTAAAATGCTATTCTTACAATGGTTTACTGAGGATAGTGCAGGTACTATGCTACTTAACGAAGACCTTAATTTACTTTTTGGAACTGTTTTTAGGCCTTGCCACCTCATTCTTTAATGAGAGGAACATAAATATCACAAAGGATTTGTTGGATCTGCTTGTTGAAGCTAAACAAGAAGTGCCATCTTGGTTAGAAAACATGGCTTATGAACACCACTACAAGGGTAGCAGTCGTGGACGATCTAAGAGGTAAGGTACAGATGGTATATAATGAGGGGGGTGGGTGCTATATCCAAGGTTAACTTTTCAAGTATTTAACAAGTTTTGGGTAAAGGGGGTATTAGAAAGGGCGACACTAAGTAGTAAGTGGCAGATTTTCATGGCTAAGTCTTGTCAAATCAATATTAGGGAAAATAGGGCTGGATGGGGAATTAATTGAATAGAAAAATCAGAAATTGGTCACTGGGAAATTTTTTCCTCTTTCAGCCGTTTCTTTTTATTTGCAGTTTGTGTTCAGTGCAAATTTTATAACATGAGAAGTTACTATGAATCAAAGCATACACAAACAACGTATAGTCCAAAATAGATGTACAGCAGCAGCCTTGGCTTGGTAGCTCAGTTGGTCAGAGTGTTGATCTGATAGGCCAGGGTTGCAGGTTTGATCCCCAGTCAGGGCACATACAAGAATCAGTGAATGCAGAAATAAGTGGAACAACAAGACGATGTTCCTCTCTTCAAATTTTAGTTTCTAAAAGTATTTGTTTTTAAAGAGAGGGAGACAGATGGAGAGAAACATGGGAGAGAGAGATAGGTTGTCTCTCAGGCCCACAACCCAGGCATGTGGCCTTACTGGGTATTGAACCAGTAGCTTTTCTGTTCGTAGTTCGGCACTTAAACCATTGAGCTACACCCACCAGGGCTAAAATCAATTTTAATACTTGAAAATAGATGTACAGCACTCAGGTATGAAATAAAAGGGATTCATACAAGAGTAGTTTGAGACCTGTTGGGTATGATGCTCCTGGGTGGCTTTGTAAAGATTAAAAAAACCACACACGACCGGTTATTTCTGTATGTAATGTGGCTAAATTTGGTAGTGAAACATAGCATTAGTGTCGTCACTGGGAAGTTTTAGCAAGAATTTCAGGTTATTTAGTGGGATTTCATCTTCATGTGAACCAATACACATTTTCGTCCTTACAGCAGTCGGTTCAGCGGAGGATTTGGTGCCAGAGACTATCGACAAAGCAGTGGTTCCAGCAGTTCCAGCTTCAGCAGCAGCCGTGCAAGCAGCAGCCGCAGTGGTGGCGGTGGCCATGGCGGCAGCAGAGGGTTTGGCGGAGGTAATGTTAGTTTTTAACCTCATGGCTTTAGGAAGATTTTTTTTCCTTTTAGTCATTGTTTTCAAAGCATAATTAAAAACATTGGGGAAGGTAGGGCCTGTAGGTTGTTTTTCATAATTTTATATCAAAGTGTTTCTAGAAGGGAAATAATTACATTTAACAGTTGATGATTTAACTAATTTTTCTTTTTTAAAATCTCTCATTAGGTGGCTATGGAGGCTTTTACAACAGTGATGGATATGGAGGAAATTATAACTCCCAGGGGGTCGACTGGTGGGGTAACTGAACCTGCTTTGCAGTAGGTCACCCTGCCAAACAAGCTAATATGGAAACCACATGTAACTTAGCCAGACTATACCTTGTGTAGCTTCAAGAACTCGCAGTACATTACCAGCTGTGATTCTCCACTGAAAATTTTTTTTTTAAAGGGAGCTCAAGATCACATGAAGAGATGAAAGAAACAATTAGCAGCCCTGTTCAGAAGGTGGTTTGAAGACTTCATTGCTGTAGTTTGGATTAACTCCCCTCCCGCCAACCCCCATCCCAAACTGCATTTATAATTTTGTGACTGAGGATCATTTGTTTGTTAATGTACTGTGCCTTTAACTTTAGACAACTTTTTATTTTGATGTCCTGTTGGCTCAGTAATGCTCAAGATATCAATTGTTTTTGACAAAAATAAATTTACTGAACTTGGGCTAAAATCAAACCTTGGCACACAGGTGTGATACAACTTAACAGGAATCATCGATTCATCCATAAATATTATAAGGAAAAAACTTATGCGGTAGCCTGCATTAGGGCTTTTTGATACTTGCAGATTGGGGGAAAACAACAAACATCTTGAAGCTTATTAATGGAATTAGTTTCTAATGTGGCAAACTGTATTAAGTTAAAGTTCTGATTTGCTCACTCTATCCTGGATAGGTATTTAGAACCTGATAGTTTTTAAACAAGCCATTCCAGTCATGATGAGGTGATGTATGAATACATGCATACATTCAAAGCACTGTTTTCAAAGTTAATGCAAGTAAATACAGCAATTCCTCTTTCAGTGTTTAGGCAGATCATTAATTATGAGCTAGCCAAATGTGGGCATACTATTACAGGGAAAGTTTAAAGGTCTGATAACATGAAATAGGTTTTTAGGAGAATTCATCTACTTAGACTTTTTAAATGCCTGCCATAAATGAAATTGAAATGGTAGAATGGCTGACCACAGCAATGACCAGCCCTCATTAGGGCCCTGGATGATTTTTGGTCTAATAACGCATGCTAGTGTTGATGTTTTTTGGTCAAGAGGGTATGAACAGGAAGAATTAATGCAGCAGGCTTTATTTTAAATGCCGATTCACATTACTCTGTTCAAGCTGCGTTGAGATGTTAAACTGGCTTACTATAGACTTTGTAAAAATGGCTCCAGAAGAGTAACTGAAATCTTTGAGATCACACAGGTTGGAAATATGTACATAACTGCACAAGGTGTCAATTCTGCTATACAGTGCAGTTTTAGTCAGTTTTAGTTGCATAGGTTTCCATTGTATTTATAGTCTGTTTATGCTAAATCTGGCCAAAGATGAGCATTGTCCACCACTAAAATGCCTCTGCCACTTTGAATTCTGTGCTAATTTTGTGGCCAGAATGCGGTGATCAAAACGCTCAATCTTTTTACAGTGGCATAGGGAGACGGCAAAAATTTCCTAAAGTGCAATAGATTTTCAAGTGTATTGTGCCTTGTTCTAAAACTTTTATTAAGTAGGTGCACTTGACAGTATTGAGGTCATTTGTTATGGTGCTATTTCAATTAGTCTAGGTTTAGGCCCTTGTACATTTTGCCCATAAATTTTTACAAAATACTTCTTTTATTGCACATTCAGAGAATTTTATATATATGTCTTGTGTGCGTGTCCTTAAACTTCCAATCTTATTTTGTCTCTTGGAGATTGTTGAACGCAGCTTGTCTAGGAAGGGGGATGGGACTAGATTCTAAAATTTATTTGGGACCATGGGAATGATAGTTGGGAAGAAAACTTTGCACACGACAGATTTCTAGATACTTTTTGCTGCTAGTTTTATGTAATATTTATTGAACATTTTGACAAATATTTATTTTTGTAAGCCTAAAAGTGATTCTTTGAAAGTTTAAAGAAACTTGACCAAAAGACAGTACAAAAACACTGGCACTTGAATGTTGAATGTCACCGTATGCGTGAAATTATATATTTCGGGGTAGTGTGAGCTTTTAATGTTAAGTCATATTAAACTCTTAAGTCAAATTAAGCAGACCCGGCATTGGCAGTGTAGCCATAATTTTCTGATGTTAGTAAAAACAAAATTGGCGACTTGAAATTAAATCATGCCAAGGTTTTGATACACTTGTCTTAAGATATTAATGAAACACTTCAAAACACTGATATGAAGTGTCCAGAATCTCAGATGTTTGTTGCGTGAGTTTTGTTTAGTTGTGTGTTTTTTTTTTTCAGTGAATGTCTGGCACATTGCAATCCTCAAAACATGTGGTTATCTTTGTTGTATTGGCATAATCAGTGACTTGTACATTCAGCAATAGCATTTGAGCAAGTTTTATCAGTAAGCAATATTTTCAGTTATAAATAAGGTTTCAAAAATCATAAGAATGGATTTAAACTTGCTGAATGTAAGGATTGAACCTCAAGTCACTGTAGCTTTAGTAATTGCTTATTGTATTAGTTTAGATGCTAGCACTGCATGTGCTGTGCATATTCTGATTTTATTAAAATAAATAAAAAGTTGAACTGCACAGTCTCCTTTGTTGTTGTCAATTGTGGTTTATTAGTGAAAATAAAGTTGTGCTCTTGCCTGAATTGTAAGATGTTATTTTTTGGACTGCTGTCCAGTGCTAATTTTGATATGGCTCTTAGAGACAGAACTACTCTGGTACCATAAGTATTTGTAATACAATGAAAAGGATTTCTGCAATAAGATGGGAATCTAAAAGGTCCTTATTACTGTACAGTGTGTATTACAAATTGGCCTGTACTTTAAGCATCTTAAATATGGGTTGGAATCTTAATTTGAAGCATTTGACATGAAGGATGTTGAAGTGGAAGAATGAATATGGTAAAAATCAAATGTGTTAGTAAAGTAGGTGATGGCAAGGACTTATGGGTCAGGAATGCATTTGGGTTAAGGGTGATTGAGAGAGCATAGGCACCCCCAGTCCACCTTCAGTTTTTGCTGACACACATTATCACCACACATGACTGCGAGCAGCTTGCTACTAATTACCCAGAGATGGTATGAGCCATAACCGAATAACTTCTAAGGGAACTATAAGACAAGGCTGTTAAGGGCGTCAAAAGTGGTCAAAATTAAACAATACAGTTCAACCTAATGAATACACAACTAAGCTCTCGTTTCACTTGGAGTTCAGGTTTGCAGTATAAACATACACTGAAATAGTTGCTTCCGGGTCCCTTTTATGGCAGAATTTTGAACATGCAGTGTTAATATTGGAGATAAGAGGGAGGTAGTTGAGTGGTCAAAATAAGTGGAAAGGTGTTAAGATGGCTAGATTAAAAACAGTCAATGGCTGAAGGTAATTCATGTAGAGTGAAACGATTCTAATAATGGTTCAAGGTCCCTTTTATGTAAGGGAGTAAAAAATCCAGGGGGACTGCCTAAATGGAGATAATTGAAGTATCTACTATATTCTGTAGTTTAAATGATAAATACATATCTAAATATTACTGGGTTTTACTTCCCAATCTCTTGGCTGAATTTCAACACCGGATAATAAAAAATGACTTGGGCCATGTTTGAAGTTGTCCAATGTCTTTATGCAATACAATTTTTTTTTTTTTAATCATACGTGGTTATTTCCCTTAAGTACTCTTAAGTGACCTGGTTGTATATGGTCACAGGCTCACCCTTTTAAGCTCAGTTAACATCTGTTGACAGTGGTCTTACCCTCCTCCCCACTGGAATGCAGAGATTTCATTCACTGCAATTCCAGGACTTTGAAAGTTTAGCTTTTTTTTTTTTTTTTCCTTCTGTTCTCATTGAACAATATTCTGGTTATATTTAAGCCTGTTGGCTTGTTCTCTTGTCCTCATGTAAGTTTATGACCTATTTTTTCAGCGTGTTCAGTCTCAGTTTAATGTAGTTCCTCCCTATGGTGACTTTTCCATTTTCATCATTTTCCCCCCCCCTACCTACACGGGTTTTCTTTAGCATGATTCTTTTGTGACCTCAAACCACGTTTATTATGGGAGAAAACAGATACACACCTTTACAAGGAGATGTCTCAAAGGGTTCAACAGAATTACCATATGACTTGGTGGTTTTGCTTCTAGAAGAATTCTATCCAGGAGAAACATCTACAACTTCTGTTTGTATGTGAATGTTTATAGTATTTTCATCATAACCAGGAAGTGGAAACAACCCAAATGTCAATCACCTGGTGGATGGGTAGATAAAACACATGTATACAGAGTGTGATACTGTTTGGCAATAAAAGAACAAAGTACTTGTGCTATTTCCTCTGGGGACCCAACCATATCCCTAACTTCCCCCTCAAAGGATCATTAGGTGGGCCTGTCAGTGTTGTGATAGGTCTGTATTCTGTTTCCTATAGATGTATGTTCAGTTTCAGTCCTGATTGATTTAGCAGATGTAATCATGGTTTCTAATTTGGGGTTATTCCTGTTTTCCTTGTTATACTGAATATGACATTTAATTTTCTGAGAGATGAGTAAAAATGCCTCTTCCATCTTTGTCTAGATATCCTCATTCTAGCGCACATGTGCACCACATTCACCTAGACTTTGAACAGCCCATCTTGTTTACCTGCTACCAGTCTATTAGTGGCATGCAGAATGGTCACTGAAACTCCACTCCTGACACAGTCACCTATAGGGCCTAGTGGATTATCTAATAGACATTTGGGGTTGCTGCGTATTGGGCACTGGGGAATGTAACAATCAATTCAGATGTAGTCCTTCCCCTCTTGGAACTGGGTACATAGGAAATGATTCTAGGGCAACTCTCATAAAATCTGCCTCTGGGGTTCACTCAGGAATCTGTTTTGCTTCTGCTTTTGTTATTCCTAAATATCCCCAGGAAATTCTGGTGCAACAAACTTAGGTATGGATTCCACTGCTCTCTACCATTTATCAACTGTTCCAAAACTTCCAATTGCCATTATCATGTTCCAAATTATAATAGATCCCGCAACCACATTAATGGCATTCTGTTAAGTGGCCCCTATGACGTGGTACTGGTCTACCTGTGCAGCTTTTATTTAACTTACTTCCTATCCCTATTGTCCAGGCATATCCTGCACTCTCTGTGTTAGCTTTTCTTCATTTCACTCTGTTTCTTCTAATTAGAACTGGAGCTAAATTAACATTCAGAATAATTTTATATATATATATATATTTATATATATAAATATAATTTATTTATTTTTAGAGACTGGAAGGGAGGGAGAAAAAGAGGGAGAGAAACATCAATGTGTGAGAGATACATCCATTGGTTGCCTCTCACATGACCCCCAACTGGGGACCCGGCCTGCAACCCAGGCATGTGCCCTGATTGGGAATTGAACTGGCAACCTTTTGGTTCACAGGCCAGTGCTCAATCTACTGAGCCACACCTGCCAGGGCTAATTTTATATATTGTACTCAGAATATACATTTACAGTAACGAGATATGGGGAAAATAATTGCTCTAATAGGTGGAGGAAAGAGTAGGTTACAATTGGAGTGTGCAGAAAGATCTCAACTACTTTGAAAATACATCAAAGACTAGGAGGAACTTCCCTCACCTAGTGACAGTTTCTGCTTCTGGTTGAAATTTTTAGAAGAGCCCTGGCCAGGTAGCTCATTTGGTTAGAGTATCATCTTGATATGCCAAGGTTGTGGATTCAATCCCTCGTCAGGGCACATACAGGAATCAGCCGGCGAGTGCATGGATGAGTGGAGCAACAGGTTGGTGTTTCTGTCTCTTCCCCTCCCTCCCTCTCTCCCTCCCTCCCTCCTACCCTTCCTCCCTCTCTCCCCCTTCCTCTCTCTAAAATCAATAAATAAAAAATTAAAAGGTTTTCTGCTTTATACTTGTACTGAGCAAATTTTATACAATTAGAATAAATTTTCCAATAAAACTTTTGTTATTTTTTAGTTTGAAATGATTATAGATTAACAGGAGGCTGTGACAATAGTACAGAGAGGTCCTGTGTGCCATTCCCCTTGTTTCCCCCAATGGTAAAATCTGGCGTAACTGTAGTACAACATCAAACCAGGAACAGGACATGGGTATAAGCCACAGACCTTATTCAGATTTCTCTAGTTTTTGCATGTACTTGTGGTGTGTGTGTGTGTGTGTGTGTGTGTGTGTGTGTGTGTGTGTGTGTGTAGTTCTATGCAGTTTTATCACGTGTTGATTTGTGTAGCCACCTCCACAGAATTGTTCCATCACTGTCATCACGAAGATCTTCCTAGTGCTACCTCTATTGTCACACCTGCCCCTTTCTGCCTCCTGACTCTGTCACTAACCCCTGGCAACCACTCACCTGTTTTCCATCTCTAAAATGTCATTTCAAAATTGTTAACAAAATGGAATTGTGTAGTATGTAACCTTTTGAGATTGGCTTTTTGTCGTTCAGCATAATGTCCTTGAGAGCCATTCAAGTTGTTGTAGTTTGTTCCTTTTTATTGCCGAGCAGTATGGATGTTCCACAGTCTGTTTATCCATTCAGCCACTGATGGGCATTTGGCTTGTTTCCAGTTTTTGACTATTACAGATTAAAGCTGCTATGAACAGCCATGTAAAGGTTTTGTGTGGATGTAAGTTTCCATTTTTCTGGCATAAATGTTCAGGAATGCAATTGCAGGAATGCAATAAACATAAGTGTATGTTTAGTTTAAGAACCTGACAATATTATGATGGTTGCATAGTTCAGCAGATTGATTCCTGAGGAGATGTAGCATTTGTCTGATGTGTCTGAAAGAAGAACCTGCCAAACTATTTTCCAGAGTGACTGTACTATATTACAGTCCTACCAGCAATGCACCAGGGATCCAGTTTCTCTGCATCCTCACCAGCATTTGGTGGTGTATTTTATTTTGGCCTTTCTAATTTGTGTAAAGTGATACCTCATTCTGGTCTTAATTTACATTTCCCTAATGACTAGTGATGTTAAACATCTTTTCTTGTGCTTATTTGCTATACTTATATTCTTTGGTAAAATATGTTCCTGTATTGCTCATTTTAAAGTTAATTGATTGCTTTTTACTGCTGAGTTCTTTATATATTCTAGGTACAAGTCTTGTCAGATATGTGGTTTGCAAAAATTTTCTCCTATTCTATAACTTGTCTTTTCATCTCCTTAATAGTCTTTCGCAGAGCAAGCACTTTCATTTTTTGAAAAAACTTTTAATTTTGATGCAATCCAATTTATCAATACTTCCTTTTGTGGATTGTGATGTCATGCCTAAGAACTCTTCACCTAGGCCTACATCATAAAATTTTCTATTTTTTCTAACAATTTTACATTTAAATCTACAATCCATTTTGAGTCCATTTTTAAGGTGTGGTGAGGTTTACGTTGAGGTTCACTTCTTAATCTATGGATGTCCAGTTGTTCTGCCACCCTTTGTTGAAAAGACTATCCTTCCTCCACTGACTTGCTTTTGCAAGTTTGTCAAAAATCAGTTCACAATCCTCGTGTGGGTCCATTTTGGGGTTGTCTTCTGTTCCATTGATCAATGTGTTTATCCCTCCACCAATACCACTGTGTTTCAATTATAGTACGTTTTAAAATTGCATAGAGTGATTCTTCCCAATTTATTTTCAAAATTGTTTTAGCTATTTTAATTTCTTTCCTTTTCCATATAAATTTTAGAATAAGCTACAAAAAGTGTTGTGGGGATTTTGATGGTAATTGTGCTGAACATATAGATAAATTTGGGGGAGAATTGACATCTTCACTATGTTGAGTCTAAAACGTATTTGTAAGTTGTGAACTCAGAATATCCAGCCAACAGGGAAGACTACCTGGTACTTCCTACATGGAAAACTCCTATTTATTCATCTTAGGATCATGACCCTCATTTGGAGTATGTCCATGGAGCCAGTGTTTCCATGAAATGCCATATTTAGTGAAGGAAGTTCATTCAGGAATATATTACAGAGTTCATCTGCTAGTCATGGCAGCCTAGGTATTTCAGACCAACCTTCCTGCTGAAGACAACCATACAAATATGTGTAAATATCCTACTGACATTCCTGTTGGGAGCCAGTAAACAACTTCTTGGAATGCCTCCTGTTACGGATAGAGACAGAGGTTTCCCAATAAGTCAAATAAATTAGTTATTGCCTGTGCAGAAAATGCAGTAGTTAGCTAATCCCAAACTTGGGAGAAACCTTACACCTTTTCAATTTCATCTTCTTAAAACTCATTATTTTGAGAGTCCTTTGGAATCTTACTTGAATATTAATTCTCAGCATGCACTGAACTCAATTACCATAATGTCCCAGAATTTCAATGATACTTAAAATTTTAATGTCGATTTTTATCAAGGGACTGTGTCCTTGGACTGGACTGTGGTGACTTCCTGTAGAAGTTCTTTAGCTGGCATTCGCACGGGCAGAGCCTTCTCTTTCACTAGGGGCGCAAAAGTTGTCATGTGCAATTGGCATTCCCATTTATTTGGTGGATTTTGAAGAAATCTATAGCATTAACAGTATTCCTTGTAAGAGGACCTATGGGATAAATTTATCTTGAGTATCACAAATAGGCTTTGCTTCTAAGGAACATGCTTTTCTCTTATAAACACTACAAACTATACATGTTTTTACTTTGGCCCATTCATAGGAATGAGGTCTATGGCATTTATTAACAATACCTTTGGTTGAATCTTTGTCTACTCATTTTCTCTTTTTCAACTGTTTTCATTTCTTTTTTTAAATGTATGATGGTCTTTATTTACAACTTTATTGCCAAAAAAGAAGAGGGATAAGTTTGTAAAACAGTCTATCACAGGGCATTGCAGCTGATGCTGTCAGATTAAAGAAGTTTCCTTTTAAATGGCTATCTAATCATCCACAGAGGTAGAACACTGAATCTGCCTATGCAGTTTCCTTTATGAAGTACAGTTCTCATATTTTAGGCAGTCTTTTAAACATATAAATACAAAAGAAATGAAATCACCCATTAAAAACTGCATTAAATAAAGGGTATTTTAAATTTAAATTTATGTTGTCCTTGTAGTAACACATGCCCAATGAAAATCAAAAGCTGGAAAAGCAGTAACATTTCCTACTTGAGTAGACAGTTATAACAACCATTTTTACAACAATCAATCCTTTTCTGCAATGACCATATTTTCAATATATCATGAACTACTCTGAACTTACTATGAGATGTAGCCAAAGTCAGAAGACAACACGTAGGGAGAATATTCCTTTTCTGGAGGAGAGTAAGCCCTCCAAAATCATCATGGGAAATAAACATCCTGTTGAAGAATTCTAGGTGGAAAAAAATTGATGTCAATTTCAATTCATGCTGAGCTGGCTTAATTTTTTCATTGACTTGTTTGGTGTCATTCTTCTAAATCAAGTGTGTTTAATTCTTGTAGTTCATCCAAATCTTCCCTGGTAAAAAGATTTTCATCAACAGGAACAGCACTGATGACTCCATTTTCTTGTCACTCCCCTTCGTTGTCCTCTTCTAAATCATTTCTTTCACCATTTTCAGCCCTACCTCCAGAAGCTTCACTCAATTTGTTTTCATCTTTTTCTGAAGTATACGTGCTGGCTCTTTCAAGACTGGCTATTGTAATACCTGTCTCATGTACATCTCTTGGGATGTACAGGCTTAAATCTATGTCATTTATGCTCACTGAATCATCAACCTCATCATCACCTGTTCCCTGGGTATAGCGGGTATCATCTGCTTCCTCCTCATCATCATTAACCAGCTCAGGACGAAATTCAAACACCTCACGACCACTGATCACTAATGCTTTCCCTGCTTTGAAGTCTGCTTTCCTTCTTTCCATATCTTGCTCAAATTTATCAATCTTTTCTTGTCTTTTTCGTTTCTTCCATGCAAGAAAAGATTCTAGAGTAATTTTGGTGACATTTGGACCTAGGGCAGAACGCTCTCTTTCAATTAGATCTTCTAATGAAATTTCATCTTCTTTCTCTTCTTTCTTTTTATGTTTTTTCAATACAAATCCCCCTCCAGGAACTGCATGATGACACATGCAAATATCACCCCCTCCAGGGCATACCCAAAACCAGCCATATTTGTTGTTTTCAATAGCTTCAAGGAAATGCTTGCACACTATTTGAGTTTTTTCTTTTCCGCCTCACTGTGCTTCTTGTCCACTATTTCTTCCAGTTTTTTCTCATCCCAATTATTCGTAGTATCTTTTTCAAGTTCTTCATCCCTGGCATCAATGTAAACACTTTGCTTTGCACACTTCCTCTCCAGAGTGAGGTCACGAGAGAACTTACACTTATCTCCTTTAGTACACTGTCCTTGCTTGAAGAATGCATACACCACAGATTTGGGGTCTGCACCTTAACTTATTTTTTGAGCAGCAACTGCAGGTTTGAATAGCTCATTTAGCTCTTACAATTCTTTCTTCTGGTCATCTTTCTTCAATTTCTTTTCAGCTTCACTTTGTGCTACCTGACGTGGATTTTGTTGACCAAATTTAACTTGATGAGTGACAGCCTTGATAAACTTCCGTTGCTTTGATCCTTTCTTATTCTTCAGACCAAAAGTTTTGTCTTCGATAATATTCTTTTTTTCCTGTTCCGCCTTTTTGCTGCCCTTGGCCTGAGCCTGTTTCTTGGAGGCATTGTGGACATGGGTGGCACCAGCCAGACTTCAAGCGCAGCTGGACACCATCAGGGTATGTGGTCCTGCGGCTGGAGAAGCCAACTGTTTTCATTTTCTTGCATGGACACCTGAAAGTTGTTTCCAACTTTTGGAATGAGATAAAGTATAAGTATATAAAATGAAATCTAAAGCTATTGTTTTTAGTGTGCTGTTTTGGTTTCTTATCAAACTAATAGAGTATCTTGAAATGGAATTTGATTTAGCAGTGATAATAAAAAGAAAAAAGGACAACACAGCAACCCAGATAATTCTATTCATTTTCCTGGGAGTTGAGTGGAATACAACTCTCAGGTTTTATCTAACTCTATAGGGGAGTTCGGCTTATCCTCTTGCCTGGTGGAATTCCAAAAGCTCATCAAAACCAGATGGTTCCTGTGATAGCGTTCTTTACTAGAGATCAAACAGGTAATGAGGTTTGTTTTGAATGGTAGTGTCAATAGGGTGGACAGCTTTACATTTACTATGTTTTCATGATCAAGCAGCCAAAATAAAGGTTGTCTTAAAGGGATTTAGTACCCAAAGGTAATTATATATTTTGCTAATAGCTCTGTTTAAAGCCCTAAATAAAGAGAGGAATGAACTAGTATCACCTCTGGCCTTATGGATGCTTTTTCTCCTCTTCTGTGCCCAGTGAAGACAGTATGGAGTACTTCTGTTTAAGGTCCAATCGCTTTGTGCTTTGCCCAAGAGTTTAGCACTGTGGCAGTCTCTCATCTATTAATGCATTACCTGTATTTCCCTCTCTCCTGGATCATTATCTTAATATCACCCATCTCAAAGCCCACTCTTGCCCTTTTCCAGTTCACTACTCCATTTTGCTATACTCCCCCTCCCAACCCACAAAACCTCAAATGCACTGTGTCCACTTCCTTACCTCTTTTATTTTTATCTACCATGATCAACTTTTTTCTCCATCATTCCACTGAAGTGGCTCTTATTAAAAATATCACAGTCACCTATTCTTTCTCATCTTAATAGGCCTTCCAGCAGCACTTGATGCTGAGCACTTCTTCGGTCACCCTTTTGTCACAAGGTTTCCAAGAGCTCACATTTACCTGCTTTTACGCCTCCTTTAGTCTCTCTTGCTCAGTCCTCTTCTTCCTCTGCAACTCTTTAATATTGGAGGGCCCAGTCATTATCCAGCCTTTCTATCTCCTGTCTCTCCCCAAGTGCTGCCATCTATTTTCATAGCTTTGGGTATCATCTTTTAATTAGTTAATATTTTAGGTAGATAATACATTCACTTATTCAAGAATCACATGATATATGTAGTTATACAGTGAAGGCTTGTTCCCACCTGCCCCCATTTCAACCAGCAACCCCACGTTAGTCACTTGTGCGTCCTTCCAGAGGGTCCTTATGCAAATGTAAGGACATGTGAATATGCTTTCTCCTCATTTTACACAAAAGGTAGCATACTATAAACATTGTTCCATACCTTTTTTTCCCCCCCAGAGGAAAAAAAGGGTTTCATAAAATATAGTATCAAACAAGTAAAAGGAACACCGTAAATGCACAAACTGGTGGCACATTAAATAAGTCCATAGTCTATTGTGATAGGTCCTTCCAGCATCAATCAGGTAGGTTTCTTCTTATCTGTTACCTCAAGGTTATTTACAGACTTGATACTTTAACAAGAGTCTCTCGCAGGAGGGCAGACAGGCTCAATCATTGGTTTCCGGATCTCTCTGTGCCTTGTTGGCATCGAACTCGGCATCTAGGTGTCCTTCTGTTTTCCACACGTACGCATCCAATCGGTTGTCCAGCTGCTCCTCGGTCAGTACAGGGCGAGAAAGGGCACCTCTCCCTCGTCCACGGCCTCGGCCTCTGCCTCCCAAGCCCCCTCTTCCCCGACCTATCATACCCTGACCTCTACCACCGATTCCGCCGTGACCCATAGCTTCATGCCCTAGGCCCCCTCTCCTAGGACTTCCATGACCTCGAACACCACCTCTTCTTAAGTCCATTCAGGGAGCTACGACTCGTCCACTTCGGAGCAGGTTTTGACCTCGGAGCGACATCCAGCCCCGGCCCTCCCCCGCCCCCCCGCCCCGTAAGTAAGATTCTCATGGCCCGTCCCCCACGTAGTCCTCCTCTGGCCGAGCCTCTCTGGATTGTGGGCAGGCTTCCTCCTCCCATTGCTCCCCTGGCCAGGGCCCCTATGGGTTGACCTAACTGTACCTGGATGTTACTCTTACCCAGGAGCTGCTTTAAGGTCTTCTGCTTAATTTTTAATGCTGCCTGGACAGAGGGTCTATTCTCCATCTGCTGGGCCAGTCTTCTGTTTCTGGCTCTGGTTCGCTGCCGTTGCTGCTGCATCAAAGCCCGAATATTCACTGGTATCGGCTGTTTGTTCTTCAGCATACTAGTAAAGCACTCATTTAGAGATATCTTGGTGGTGTTTTTTAGGACAACTTTCGGGGCTGACTGTGCAGCCTTTTTAACTAAACAATATATACTGGAGATTTTTGCATATTAATAAATAGGAAGGAGTTCGCTCTTCTTTATAGTTGTATAATCAGAATATTTTATTGCGTGGCTATACCTTATGTAACTATCCTTGTACGGATGAACATATAGGCTGTTTCCCATCCTTTGTTATTACCAACAACACTCCAATGAATGATTAACTCTGTAACCCATCAGTCTACCCATTGAAATTTGGGTACATATAATCAAGTTGTTCCCCATAGGAGTGGTACTAATTTGCATTTCTTCCAGTAATGTAACAGAGTGTTTCTTTTCTAATACCTTTGTCTATGAGCATATTGTCAAACTCGTATTTTAGCCAATATGATTGAGACTCTATTTTTTACCTGTGTAGTTTTAATTTATAGGTCTCTTTTGAGTGAGCTTAAAGACCTTCCCATATGTTTAAGGGCTATTTGCATTTTTTTGTTCTATGGATTATCTATTCACAAATATCTTTTGCCTATTTTTCTTTTGTGTTATTGGTTTATTTGTATAGAATTTTAGAAACTCTGTATATTAGGAAGATTAGCTCCTTCTTAATGAGTAGTCAGTTTTTAAAAAAACACTGTTATTTGTATTTTCACTTTCCTTATGGTGTTTTTTGACTATATAGAGTTTGTTTTTTTAAACGTGTAGTATAATTCATCAATCTTTTCTTTTAGGACTTCTGAACATTGAGCCATTTTTTTTCCCTACTACAATATGTTATAAAAGAATTTTGCATGTATTCTTATTCTAAAGTTATATTTCTACATTTATAGTTATATTTTCACATTAATTTTTTCTACCCACTTGGAGTTTATCTTGGTGTATGATAATGGTCTATGGATCCAACATTTTTTTTTATTTGATTCTACCACCATCTCTTGAAATATCTGTCTTTCCTACACTGTATTACGTAGGGTAAGGTCAAACTGTTGTAACAAAGAGGCTGCGAAATACAATGACTTAAATAAGATAGAAATATTTTCTCTTACCTACCATTCCAGACTTCATGTTCCCAAGTCGGCGGGTGACTGCTACCCACAGTCATTCAGGATTGAGGCTCCTTCCATTTTTTCTCTCAGCCTTAAAGGCACAAGTTTTCAAAATGTCGTCCCTACACCAGGAGCATCAGCATTACCTGACAACTTGTTAGAAATACAAATTCTTGAGCACCCGCCCCAGACATGCTGACTCAGAAACAATGGAGATGAGGTCCAGTGACCTATATTTTAACAAGTTCTGCAGAGGATTCTGATGCACCCTGGCATTTGAGAACTGCTGATCTAGGTCTTTGTCCTCATCTGTGTGGTTCAAATAAGCCTGAATTGCAGAGAGCAGAAAAAAAGAGCTCACAGGAGGTACACCAGCTGTTTTCATGTGTTGGTACAGAAGCAGCACACATCACTTCACTCATATGCCATTTTGGCAAAATCTTGGTCACATGATCACCTTTTTGATTCCTTCTACTGTGTTTTTCAATTCACAAACTGTATTCTTCATTTCCTCTTGTCTCTTATTCATAGTTTCTATGTCCTTTTTCATGCTGATATAGTTTGCAGTAAGTTCCTCATAGTTTCCCTGTAGTTTTTTGTAATTCTCTCTGAGCTCTCTGAGCTCATTGAGGTTACTTAGATCCATTGTTTGGAACTCAGTATCTGATAGTTTATTGGCCTCTATTTAATTGATTTCCCTTTCTGGGGATTCCTCCTTTCCCTTCGAATGGGGCATATTTCTTTGTCTTCCCATTATTTGTGAGACTCTTCTCTTTTGCTTCTGCTTCTTAAGTTGATCTGTCTTGATTTCCCGACTTTGTGATGTGAACTTCTATGGTAGGAGACCGCTGTTTTTACTTTCTGGATCTGCCTCTGATGATGCCTGATGTTGACCCTGTCCGACCTTAGGCAGTCTGTTTGAGGCTTCCAGGAATCTACTGTCTGTGGCTCTCCCTCAGCTGTTAATCTACTCACTCGGCACTCAGCAGGCCGCCTTAGACAGCTCAGGGTGGGGCGGAGTCCCTCCTGGGGGTGGGGTTATTGGGTCCTCTCACGCTGCTGCTGTGTAGGAGGGAGGAGTCTGCACTGGGATCCCGCTGGCTACTCTCGCCGTAGAACTGCATAGTTTTAATTATTGAGGCTTTTCAATATGTTTTAATATCTTTAATATCTAGTTCTTCCTTCAGGGCCCTTTTATTTAGAGTTTTGTTGTTGCTCTTGCTTGTTTACGTTTTAAAAACAACATTTACAATGATTTGCCTATTTGTAGAAATCTTTCAGGGTTTTTTTAAAAAATAAAGATCTTGTACATTTCATGTGAAGTTTATTTCCAATTATTTTATGTTATTTGTTGCCATTATAAAGGAGATATCTTCTTTCATTACATTTTAGAGCTGATAATTGTATATGCATTGGGGCGAAAGTAGGTTTACAGTTGTGAGTAGGCAAAACAGAGAGTTTGTTCTTATATTCTTATTCATTAATTATTGTATTTACATACAAACAACAGTAAACCTACTTTTGCCCCACCCTATAGAAAAGCTATTGATTTCTTTATATTTTCTTTTCTGTTACCTTACTGAATTCTCATAATGTTTTTAGTAGTTTCTCAGTTGATTCTTTTGTCTTTTCCAAGCAGACAGTTACATTATTTGCAAATATCAAACGTCTAATTTATTTCTCTTGTCCAATTGCTTCAGTTAGGATCTTCAGTACAATGTTAAATAATAGTTGTGAATTATGTCTGGCTGGTGTGGCTCAGTGCATTGACTGCCAGCCTATGAACCCAAAGGTCGCTCATTTGATTCCCAGTCAGGGCACAGGCCTGGGTTATGGGCTGGGTCCTAAGGAGGGGGCGTGCGAGAGGCAGCCCCATTTATGTATCTCTCGCACATCGATGTTTCCCTGTCTTCCTTCTTTCCTTTCTCTCTAAAATAAATAAATAAATAAATAAAATCTTTTTAAAAAATCTGTGAATTCTCCTGGTGTTTCCTATGAAATGTGATGCTGGGAAAATGTCAAACATGCTAAGGATATCAATCTATTCATATTTTGAGTTTTTATCAAGAATGGGTGTTGACTTTGTCACATGCTTTTTCAGACTTTGTGGAAATGATATTTTTCCCCTACATTTATTAATGTACTTAAGTATTTTAATAGTTTTTCTATTATTCAAATAATGTGGTACTCTTCACCTTGTAAATCAAAGAACTGAACAGATGGTCAATACAATAGATAGTTGTATTTTCTCCTTCTCCAGAGTCCTTCCTCATCTCATTAAATGGCACTATCACTGTATGGTGGTATAGCAACTATACTTAAATAAAAATAAATTAAGAAAGAAACAAAGTCAGAGAGAAAAAAAAGCTGAGAAGTCATTCCTTTTTTCTTATTCTCTCATACCACTTAGCAGCACATTTTATAAGTCCTACCTCCAAACCTGACCACTTCATCATCACTACTGCTAAAATCCTGGTCCAAGTTAATTTCCTTTCTCACCTGAACTACTGTGACAGCCTCCTTAATTGGTCTCCCTGCCTCCGTTATGACTTCTAAGATTTGGTTCCAACCAGCCTCCCATCTACTGTGCCATCCATTGTGCTCTTATCATACCAGCCTCCTTACAATCCAACCTCATCCTTTCTGCTTGAAACTTTTTCTTATTACAGCCATCTGCTCCTCGTCAGATCTCAACTCAAATGTTGCTTTTTCAGACAGGCCCTCCCTGAGATTCCTAGTTAACTACTCTAGTTTAAGTATTAAGGAAGCCCTAAAGGAAAGGTGTGCAACTTCTGACAGGGCCTTGAACCCATATCTTGCCTGCAAAAGGTAGGGCAGAGGCTGCTGAGCCTGGTGATTCTTCTTTGGCCACACCACTTCTAGCTTATGAGGTCCAGGTCACAGAGGGCTGGGTTTCCATTCTCTCCTGGTCGCTAGATGTGGCACACTCCACGCAGACAGGGGCTGCCTCGTTCTCTCGATGCTCCTGTATTGAGGGCCATCTTCCCCTATGGTCTCCCTGCCATGAAATGATCTATAGCATGAAGCCATGTTTGCTTCCTAAAAGTAAGATGTTGTCTGTTCCTGAGCAAGGCAATACCACCTTACTGACTGTAACCTTCAGGAAGTGCCTTAACTTCTTTTTTTTAATAACTATTTTTTACACTTTATTTATTTATTTTTAGAGAGAGGGGAAAAGAAGGAGAAAGAGAGGGAGAGGAACACTGATGTGAGAAACATCGAGTGGTTGCTTCTCGCAGGCCTCCAACCAGGAAAATGACCGCAACCCCAGCATGTGCCCTGACCAGGAAATGAATCAGCGACCTTTTGGTCAACAGGCTGGTGCTCAATCTAGAGAGCCACACCAACCGAGGCGCCTTAACTTTTGAGTCACGCCTTTTTTTACTGTGAAATAGGAATAACAATACCTGACCTATATACTTTTTGTGACAATTAATGGAAGATGTATTTCAAGTGCTTTTAAAAAATTATATGGTTTCAATGGGTATGTAGTAAATTGTCACAACTGTCATACACATAAAATAACTCTCCCTCCCCCAAACCTTCCATTACTCTCCTAGGGTAGGAAGTTCAAAACCAGGCTGAGAACTCCTTATTCCACCACTTCCATCCACTAGCCAGTTACCTAAAGCTGGCTCATTGTTTTTGAACATTGCTCATGTCTGCAGTTTTTCCCCTTCCTGCTGCCTTCAGCCTAGATCACAGAAATAGTGGCCTCACTTCCTCTGTTCTCTCCCTCTCTGCTCTTCTTACTAACAAAACCCCAGTTTGGTTCAGGATGGATGTGCCTCTCTAAGAATACTTGTCTCCCAGTTCTGATCAATGAGATGTAGGTAGAAGTCCCTGGGGTGGGTGTCGCTTCCCCAAAAAACCTCATGAGGCTTGACTGTTGTTTTCTCTCCTAAAACCTGCAGCATAAAACCCAGAGGTGCAGGAACTGATCTGCAACCATGAGAACAAAAACCATATACTGA